CAGAATTCCTAGCCAGCCTACTTTAAGATGGATGGACTTCCACTCCCAGAATTCCTAGCCAGCCTACTTTAAGATGGATGGACTTCCACTCCCAGAATTCCTACCCAGCATACTTTAAGATGGATGGACTTCCACTCCCAGAATTCCTACCCAGCATACTTTAAGATGGATGGACTTCCACTCCCAGAATTCCTAGCCAGCATACTTTAAGATGGGTGGACTTCCACTCCCAGAATTCCTAGCCAGCATATTTTAAGATGGATGGACTTCCACTCCCAGAATTCCCCAGCCAGCATGCTTTAAGATGGGTGGACTGCAACTCCCAAAATTCCCCATTCTTTTTAAAGTTGCAAAACTCAAGGAACATTGAGCAAGAATGTTAAGATTAAGTGAAGAGAAACTGAAATTTCAAATTGGTACGGTAAGTTTAATTATCTTCTAAAAATGGCTTCCAAGTGCAGTTCAACTCTATGTCAAGTTTACTTTGGAAATTGGAAGCTATTTTGGACATCAAAGTGCACTCCCACACCTTAATTAAACATTTTTATGTGGAAGGAACGGTATGTACTTTCCAACTGGAAATGCAGAGGCAGTTACCAAGTGTAGTTTAATACAGGAATCCAAGGGTTAGTAACATTTTGCTAAAAGTAGCAGGTTGGAAAAGAAATTCAATTTTTAGAATTGTTTATTTGGTAAAAATTGTTCTGACAAACCCTGAGCGATCAGTTTTAGCAATCAATGCTAGAATACAGTCCCGGTAAAATATTTTATACCTGTTTTTTTTCCTCTGTGTATAATATTCAGTGTAAATTTAATGTTTTTCTTCTATTAGAAATTTCATTTCTGATATTTCAGGGATTAAATCTAGCTTCTGCAGCAATTTAATGAGAAATTTAACTTTGGAATCATGTCACCCATAATTTGTAAATAAGGCCCCGAAATTGCTCCAAATTTTGTGTTATAAAATTTTCAGATTCAAACCTGACCCTTTTATGATTTGTGGACTTCAACTCCCAGAATTCCTCAGCCAGGCATGTCTGGCTGAGGTATTCTGGGAGCTGAAGTCCATAAATCATAAAAGGGCCAAGTTTGAAGACCCCTGCTCTAAAGTCAGTGTTTTTCAACCTGGATAGCTTTAAGACGAATGGAGTTCAACTCCCAGAATTCCCCAGCCAGCCATGATTCTACTGGGGCCACGACAGGTCCTACATTGAACCACTAAATTGTCCTATTTAGACTACCAAAACGTCCCTCCAGAAACACCAAAGATCCTATGTAGGACCACCAAATCTACTTAGGTCTTTTTGATGGACATGGTGCCATCACGACTTCCAAGGATGCCATGGAGGACCACCAAGGCTTCTACTGAGACCCCCAAAAGTCCTATTGGGATCAGCAAAGGTCCTATCTGGGACCAGAAAAAGAACCTATTGGAGCCACCTATTGGATCCAACATAAGATCACTAAAATGTCCTACTTAAGAGTACCACCAAACGTCCCATCAGAAACATCAAAGATCCCATGTAGATCCACCAAACGTCCCATCAGAAACATCAAAGATCCTATGTAGACCCATCAAACGTCCCATCAGAAACATCTAAGATCCTATGTAGACCCATCAAACGTCCCATCAGAAACATCAAAGATCCTATGTAGAACCAACAAACGTCCCATCAGAAACATCAAAGATCCTATGTAGAACCACCAAACGTCCCATCAGAAACATCAAAGATCCTATGTAGAATTTTATAGTAAAGTTGGAAGGGACCTTGGAGGTCATCTAGTCCAACCCCCTGCTCAGGCAGGAAGCCCTATACCATTTCCGACAAATGTCTGTCCAGTCTCTTCTTAAAAACTTCCAGTCTCTTAAAAACTGTCGCAATTCGCTTAATGGCTGCGGCAAGAAAGGTCACAAAAGGAGCGAAACTCACACGCGACCGTCTCGCTTAGCAACAGACAATTTGGGCCTCCGTTGCAGTCATTCAGTAGAAGACGACCTGCGGTACGGAAGCCCACCGCCCATCCACCGACTCTCCCCCCCCCTTTCCGCCCCCCCATCCAGCAATATGTCCAACGGGAATTCTTTTTTTCCTGCCAAATTGGTGGGCGTGGAAAACAGCTCAACCCGCCAATTTTCCAGGCAGCGATGTTGATCAAGAGAAAAGGAATGGAGGGGGTGGTCCAGGAACCAACATTAGACGGAAAGCGGGGCGGGGGGGGGGAAGAAGGAAGGAATTACTCATCCCTTCCCATTTTGCCACCAAATTTTTCCATGGTTTTTTGGGATGTGCATGTCCCTTGCCGGGACTGGAGTTTGGCAAGGAGCCGGTAAGCCTCCTTCTCTCTTGTGCTGAACGGCACCACATGTTCAGTTTCCCACCTTCCTCTTTTTTTCAGGGGAGGGGAGGGGGGCCATTTATGGGAAAGGGGGCAGAGAAACGAGGCCACTTTGCCACGTTGCACAAACAAGCAAAGCCCCATTCGCGGGATGCAAGGCAGCACACATAACCAGCCACCCTTCCGATCCACGGAAAAACCTCTCTCCACGGAACCGGTCTTTGGTGCTTGAAAGGTTGGGGATCTCTGCAATAGACCCCACAAACAGTGTGCCTTCCTTGGTCGAACTCTGCAACTCGGTTTTCACCGCGCCGGGACATTGGCAACACGTTGGCCGAAAATAAAATAAAATAAAATCATTCCTAGCTGAGAATGGAAGTCACGTGGCCCGGTTCGTGACAGTGGCTCAGACGCAGTGATTTATATATAGAATGCCTTTTAAATGTGGAAGCTCCATTTCTTGTTGGGGGAGTCCTTGGCTTACGACCGCAATGGAGACCCGAAAGTTGTTAAGTGAGTTTGGCTCCATTTTACCATCGCTCTGTTCATAAGCGAATCGCTGCAGTTGTTAAGTTAGTGACATTGATGTTAAGTGTCAGTAGTAGTAGTAATAATAATAATAATAATAATAATAATAATAATAGTAATAGTAATAATAATAAAGTTGGAAGGGATCTTGGAGGTCATCTAGTCCAACCACCTGCTCAGGCAGGAAACCCTATACCAGACATGTCAAACACAAGGCCTGGGGGCCGGATGCGGCCCGCAAAGTGGTTTCATGTGGCCCATGAAGCCATCTTGGAAACAGTGAGGGAACGGCCCCCCCTGCCTTGGCCCTGGCCCAGGCCAGCCGGGAGCCAATGTACAATTTTGTGGTGGCCATCCTGGCATTTGCCACGGTAGCCCATGCCTTGGCCCTTGCCTTGGTCCCCCCCCCCTTCTGCCAGAGACCCTCAGATCTGTCCCACTCCTGCCCAGGCCCCCACAGGCACCCTTGACGCGGATGATGTAGAACTGGCCACGCCCACCCAGTAGGCCACACCCATTCCATCCACGCCCACCTGGTAGGCTGCACTCACTCTGGCCACACCCACCCGGCCCCCCAAGGGCAACCACAATGCTCATGTGGCCCTCAGTGAAATTGAGTTTGACACCCCTGCCCTTTACTATTTCACACAAATGGCTGTCCAGTCTCTTCTTAAAAACGTCCAGTGTTGGAGCATTCACAGCTTCTGGAGGCAGGTTGTTCCACTGGTTAATTGTCCTCACTGTCAGGAAGTTAGTTCCAGGTTGCTTCTCTCCTTGATTAGTTTCCATCCGTTGTTTCGTATCCTGCCCTTAGGTGCTTTGGAAAATAAATTGAGGGGGACAATCTATTTTCCAAAGCACATGAAGGCCAGACAAGGAACAACGGATGGAAACTGATCAAGGAAGGATTCAAACTAGAAATAAGGAGAATTTTTCTGACAGTGAGAGCAATTAGCCAGTGGAACAACTTGCCTCCAGAAGTTGTGGGGGCTCCATCAGTGGAGGTTTTCCAGAAGAGACTGGACCGCCATCTGTCAGAAATGGTGTAGGCGGATCTCCTGCTTGAGCAGGGGGTTGGACTAGATGACCTACAAGGTCCCTTCCGTTATCCTGTTATAACAACAACAACAACAACAACAACAACAACAATAATAGTAAAGTTGGAAGGGACCTTGGAGGTCATCTAGTCCAACCCCCTGCTCAGGCAGGAAACCCTATACCATTTCGGACAAATGGCTGTCCAGTCTCTTCTTAAAAACTTCCAGTGTTGGAGCATTCACCGTTTCTGGAGGCAGGTTGTTCCACTGGTTAATTGTTCTACCTGTCAGGAAGTTTCTCCTTAGTTCTAGGTTGCTTCTCTCCTTGATTAGTTTCCATCCGTTGCTTCTTGTCCTGCCTTCAGGCACTTTGGAGAATCGCTTGACTCCCTCTTCTTTGGGGCAGCCCCTGAGATATTGGAAGACTGCTATCATGTCCCCCCTCATCCTTCTCTTTGTTAAACTAGATATACCCAATTCCAGCAGCCTTTCCTTATATGGTTTAGCCTCCAGTCCCCTGATCATCTTTGTTGCTCTTCTCTGTACTCTTTCTAGTGTCTCAGCATCTTTTTTACATCGTGGTGACCAAAACTGGATGCCGTTGTTCCAAGTGTGGCCTTACCAAGGCCTTGTAAAGTGGTATTAATACTTCATGTAATTTTGATTCTATCCCTCTGATAATGCAGCCCAGCACTGTGTTGGCCTTTTTGGCAGCTGCAGCACACTGCTGGCTCATATTTAGGTGATTGTCCGCTAGGACTCCGAGATCCCTCTCACAGTTACTACTATTGAGCAAAGTACCCCCTGTACTATATCTGTGCATTTGGTTTTTCTTGCCTAAATGTAGAACCTTACTTTATTTTATTCTGTTATCTGCTCCTCAAGTTCTTTTGCCATCACTTAGCTTCAAGCTTCATGCACTGCAAAACAGTTTTTGAAACTAACTGGTAAATAGAGAGTCCGAACATCCAAACCATAAAATTACACGCCAGAAGATGCTGGGCCTAAAGTATGAGCTCAGGATGCCGACGTTAATAATAGCACCATGTTTGATCCACAGAGAAAAGGACAGATTTTCAGAAAAGCGTAGATACCTACCTTGGCTTTGTTGATTGTGCAGTGAAGGGCGTTGTTTTCCTGATCGTACAGCAAGCTGAAATCTAACGTCCCCAGCGCAGCTGGAAAAAAAACAAAAGAACACAGGTACCTTAAAAGGAAAGTCCCTTTGCTTCCTCTTAAATTATAAGTTAATGGTAGCAAAAAGATCGAACTGCAAGTTTCTGCAAAATCAGGATCAGGTGAGGTTGCAGGAGAAGGATGGAGATTTAGCTCTGAAAAGTTGACTGTCTTTGGAGGCTCCATTAAGCTGTTGCTGGCAAGGAATCAAGGCAACAGGCTAGAAATTGGGAGTTCCAGACTTGCCTTTGGTACAAAAACAACGGACAATTTTGGGCCAGCCGCTTTGTTTCAGCCCTAGGACGAAGGCAATGGCAAAAAAAGGGTGTAAATAAAATTTCAGAGACTAGTTTAATGAAGAGAAGAACGAGGGGGGACAGGATAGCAGTGTTCTAGTATCTCAGGGGCTGCCCCAAAGAAGAGAGAGTCAAGCTATTCTCCAAAGTGCCTGAAGGCAGGACAAGAAGCAACGGATGGAAGGAACTAATCAAGGAGAGAAGCAACCTGGAACTAAGGAGAAACTTCCTGACAGTTAGAACAATTAACCAGTGGAACAACCTGCCTCCAGAAGTGGTAAATTGCTCCAACACTGGAAGTTTTTAAGAAGAGACTGGACAGCCATTTGTCCGAAATGGTATAGGGTTTCCTGCCTGAGCAGGGGGTTGGACTAGATGACCTCCAAGCTCCCTTCCAACTTTACTATTATTATTATTATTATGGATCATCGCACAATCAGCCAGATGTTCAGACTGGATCTGGCATTTTTGCCTACCTATCGAGTCCTTCCCAAGGACCTGGGATAGGCAGATGTGGATGTTTGATGGTATTACAGGTATCATCGCAGGATGGAAGCAGTTCCTAGTAAGGCCGCCTTTTGCAATTGACTAATAGCGAATTTGTCAATGCCAATGGTGTTCAAGTGGTGCTCCAGTTGTTTTGGGATTGCACCCAAGGCACCTATGACTATTGGTACTACCCTTGCTTGCTTTTGCCACAGTCTTTCTATTTCTATTTGTAGGTCTTTGTATTTTGTGATCTTCTCCAGTTCTTTCTCTTTCTCTATTCTGCTGTCTCCAGGCACTGCCACGTCCACTATCCAGACTTTTTTGTCTTTCTTATCGACAATTGTTAAGTCCGGGGTGTTATGTTGCAGGTGCTTGTCTGTTTGAATTCTGAAGTCCCAGAGCAGTTTAATTTTATCATTTATTATTATTATTATTATTATTATTATTATTATTATTATTATTATTATTATTATTCAAAGAGAGAAGCAACTTATAACTAAGGAGAAACTTCCTGACAGTTAGAAGAATTAACCAGTGGAACAACCTGCCTCCAGAAGCGGTGAATGCTTGAAAAACCAGGAAAGGCTGGTAAAGGCTAAGCTTCCAGAAAGCTGATTGCTTTATGCCAAAGAAGGGCTTCGGGTATATAATTGGCTCCATATTCATAGAGGGGAAAGGTATAGAATGTATTTGAAAACTCTTCCTTAATGCATATAAAAGAGCTAATTTGGTGCAGATTAAGGCCCGAGGCTAGAAAGTTGGAGACTGTTAATTCTGGGCATAAAGCCAGCTGGGTGAGTTTGGGCCAGTCACTCCTTCCCAGCCCCAGGAAGAAGACAAGAACAAATCACTTTTAAAAATGTTGCCAAGAAAACAACAGGGACTAGCAACCGGTCACCCGAAGTCAAGAACTCTGCATTTGGCTCATTAAACTTCATTTTTGATGTCGTTCCCTTTACTTAACGTGATCCTTTGGGATTCTGTTTTTATTTTCTAGTCTCTTTGCATTTAGTTTTATGCCACCTGCAAACCTGATAATCCTACCTCGACCAGGACTAGAACCTTGATCATTCCAGTTGACCCTTCGCTGCAGCTTATTCAAAGAAGCGCTGATGGGAACTCAGTTTTTCAACCCAGCCTTCGACTCATCTCATAGAGGGGATATCAGACCTTACTAACCCAAACATTACGGGATACTTTTCTTTCCAAAAATCAAGATCAATTACATCTAGACTAGCATTCCCACAATCTACTAACTTATTAATCAAAAACCAAAACCAGCATAGTTTGATTTTTAATCATTGCATTGCTTTCACAATGTTTACTATTATTGATCCACACCTCTCAGGAAACCATGATCACCCCAGTGATAACCTTCAATTTAATTGTTAGAGAACAGGGCTGGGCAACGATGGCAACTTTACGAACTTCGACTCCCAGAATTCCCCAGGCAGCATGCCTTTTGAGATGGGTGGATTCAGCTCCCAGAATTCCCCAGCCTGCATGCTTTAAATTAAGTGGACTTCAACTCCCAGAATTCCCCATCCAGCATGCTTCAAGAGAGTCTATTCTATTGGCTTTCAAAAGCCAATAGAATAAAAGGGAGTAGCACAGCTAAGGAAAAGGGGGAAAAAATGGCGGACTGCGTTGTTTGGCGACCCCCGTGAAATGGTCGTTCGACCCCAAATGGGGTCCCGACCCACAGGTTGAGAACCACTGATTCCTAGAACTAAGGAGAAACTTCCGGACAGTGAGGACCATTAACCAGTGGAACAGCCTGCCTCCAGAAGGTGTGGGTGCTCCATCACTGAAAGTTTTCAAAAGAAGAGACTGGACAGTCACTTGCCTGGAATGGTAGAGGGTTTCCTGCCTGAGCAGAGGGTCAGACTAGAAGACCTCCAAGGTCCCTTCCAACTCTATTCTGATTGATCTGATTGAAACTGGGTATGGTTCCCTGTTTTGGGGCTTGTTACAACTTTGAACAGAGGCTAAGTGACCGGTGATAAGTCAAGAACTATTTGTAGTTGCAGCCATTATTTTGATTTATTTTTTTTTGTTTTGCCTTCCTGCATGCAACTTTGCAATTATCTCGAAAGAGAACGGTGGGGCGGCTAAATATATCATAAATCTAATGCACAAAGATGGTTTGTTTATTCATTTCTTTCTTTATCAGATTGCTAGCCTGATGCAACGAGGTAGAGACTCCCAGCGGGTCCCCTAATTATAGCAAAACAATGACTTAGTAATGAGAAATGAAAAAGAGAAAGAGAAATACCAAACGAACAAACAGAATAGAATTGAGCTGGAATACTGGCTAATTGCCCTCACTGTCAGGAAGTTTCTCCTTAATTCCTTGTTGCTTCTCTCCTTGATTAGTTTCCATCCGCTCCTTGTTGTCCTGCCTTCAGGGCCTTTGGAGAATAGTTTGACACCCTCTTCTTTGGGGCAGCCCCTGAGATAATGAATAGAATAGAATAGAATAGAATAGAATAGAATAGAATAGAATAGAATAGAATAGAATAGAATAGAATAGACCTGGAAGGGACCTTGGAGATCTTCTAGTCCAGCCCCCTGCTCAAGCAGGAGAACCTATACCATCCCAGACAGATGGCTGTCCAGTCTCTTCTTAAAAACCTCCAGTGATGGAGCGCCCACGATTTCTGGTGGCAAGCTGTTCCACTGGTTAATTGTCCTCACTGTCAGGAAGTTTCTCCTTAATTCCAGGTTGCTTCTCTCCTTGATCAGTTTCCATCCATTGTTTCTCGTCCTTCCCTCTGGTGCTTTGGAGAATAATTTGACCCCCTCTGCCTTGTGGCAGCCCCTCAGATACTGGAAGACTGCTATCATGTCTTCCTTATTTCTTCTTTTCTTCAGACTAGCCAGACCCAAGTCCTGCCTTCTTTTAGAGCAGTGGTTCTCAACCTGTGGGTCGGGACCCCATTTGGGGTCGAACGACCATTTCACGGGGGTCGCCAAACAACGCAGTCCGCCATTTTTTCCCCCCTTTTCCTTAGCTGTGCTACTCCCTTTTATTCTATTGGCTTTTGAAAGCCAATAGGATAGGCTTTCTTGAATAGAGTCTAATTCTATTGGCTTTCAAAAGCCAATAGGAATTGTCCAGGCTGTCTCTGCCCTGCTGAGCCCGCCAAAAGTCCCATTCTGCAAATGGGGCTGCACCAGTTGAGTAGTCCTCTACTTACGACCGGTTGAGTAGTCCTCGACTTCCGACCGGTTGGGGGTCGCGGCATTAAAAAGGTTGAGAACCACTGTTTTACAGAGTCACTGAGGCCACCTGGAGGGTTACCTATGTCCTCAGGGTCACCTGAGTGGTGCAAATGGGTGTGCAGCCTTCTTAGAACAGGTAAACCTCCAAGTGGCCTCAACGACTCTCTAAAAGAAGGCAAATGACCAGCTGTGTGCAAGGAGTATAAATCCTTCCATTTCCCCACCCTCCAGTCAGAGCTGAAGAAGCTTCTTGGAGGAGAAGCGAAACATCTTCAAAGAAAAACAAGAAAGTCCAGTTGCCTTGGGACAACCAAGATTTGGGTGACTGAGCATCTCCATAGACACACACACACACACAGAGGGAGAGGGAGGGAGGGAGAGAGAGGGAGGGAAGGAGAGAGGGAGACAGACAGACAGACAGACAGACAGACAGAGACAGAGAGAAAGACAGAGACAGACAGAGGTTCTAGTCAAGGTTCTAGTCCTCATGGAAACATTCCTAAGTCTCTTGAAAATAACAAATGCCTAGAGGTTGTTTTAAAGAAATCCAGCAAGCAAACATCGAAGCACCCAGGAAAATATTGTGATTTAATATTATCGAGTCTAATTCCAGCAAGGTCCAATTGAAGGCAGACACCCCCCCCCACCCCCCACCCCATCTATCTGCTGAAATACCCCTGGTCCATTGGCTCCTTAAATAGGCCGGCATTGTCCTTGATTGTCTCCGCTGGGGTTAATTTGCCCAAAGTAGCTAAGCTGTCATGTGAGGGCTGGCACAGATTAGTGATGGATGGGAGGCAGCGCTGAGGGTTCCCAGACTTAATTCCGGGGTCACCTTCAACCTTCCAGCTGCTCGGGAAGCTTTGCTCCGATCGGAAGACAGTGGAATTATACGGAGCCTCGTTGGCAGAATCAGAAGAGGGAGCAATTTAAATTGCCTGAGAAAATGTTGTGTCTCCCATAATCTGGGCTGGGCTGGATTTTCTTAGGGC